GTGTTTTTTTATTACTTAATTGGTTTTTTTTTTTTATTTTTTTTTTTTTTTTTTTTTTTTTTTTTTTTTTTTTTTTTTTTTTTTTTTTATTGTTAAACGCTTAATTTTATTATTGTATATGTGTATATTCGTATGTTTATTTAATTTCTGTTAGCTACTTGTTTATTTACAAAAACATGCTTATAAGTATATCGCTATCTCTCTTTTCCCTTTTTTTTTTTTTTTTTTTTTAGTTTTGATTATCAGCCTGACCACTATTTTTGTTTGTTGGGTTAGACCCTGTGTTGTTCGAGAAACATCTATGCTCCATATGGCCCGTCTTTTTGCATATGAGACAGGCATGGACGCGGCCACACCTTCTATCGTCACTGCAGTATTTTCGATTCCAGTTAAGGCAGATTTCTCCACCGTCGTGCCACGTTAAATCGGTTCTGTATGGCTTTGATCTAATAATTTTGGACCTTTTTGTTGTTGTGACGTCGAAATTATCTCCTTCCACCACGATGTTCCGGTCGAATAACGTTGATTCCCGGTTCATTGTTAATACTAATCTCCGATCTTCGTTGTAAGCCATCACTGCGTTAAATTCATATTTCACACAGAGACTGCTTATGTGGTCGCGGTAAAAATTTAATTCCCGTTCTCTTTGCTCATAAATAATTAAGGTTGCCTCCATATATGCCCTGAAGGCAAGTAACCATTCTGATATATCATGGAACTTGCTGTACGAATTTCGCTTGCGAATAGATAAAAACCCCCCTTCTGTTATTTGCAATGGCGTATCGTCGTGAGAGAATTTTATATTAGATTTTAGGTTTTTATATGCGAACTCCTGAAGGTCTACATAAAAGCCAAATGCAATTGATTTCCACATCCGTGATGTTAAGCTTGGTTTTTGCGTGAGCATTTCTATCGTCTTTTGTCCCTCAGACCAATTCGTCACCCACCATAGCCTTATACCTTCGATTTGAGCTGCTAATGAGTTGGTGAAACCTTCGACTGTTGGCATTTGTTTAATTTTCCCGTAATCTATAGCTGGGAATTTAGCACTCCCTTTTTTGACTATTAATGATTTGTCTGTCTGTTGGCTATCTTCATTCTTGCAGAGCATATTAGATGCAGATGTTGTTCCCGGCAGCAACATGTTTGCTAACATATGGTTAAGGATTGGTGTGGATGGATAATTACCTTGAGTTAAGTCTTCTCTTGTTTCTGTCGCCGAACTTACTGTAACTGGTGATGCGTTGGCTGCTTGGTTTTCGTCCAACAGATAGTTTTCTCCAGATTGTCGTCCTGTATTATTCCAATTAACTTGCTCTAGTTGACTGAAGCGATTATCTATTGAACACTATAGTTGTTCATTCCAACTTCTTTGATTCTCGGCTTGTTGGTCTATTAATTCTTTCACTTTTTCAATAATTGTGGATATCGTATTTTGGCAGGCACTATCGATGTAGGCTTTTGTCTGTGCATCTATCTGAGCTGAGTTGGTATTTCCGTTAGGCATTTTTTTTTTTTTTTTTATCTAGCGAGGATTTTGCGCCGTCGTTCTTTCAGTGCTGTGGGAGCTTGAATTTGCTATCATACACATTTATATTCCATTATCTGTTTCTCCGTTTCGATTCTTTGCGCCAAGCATGTATTGGCCCATTGTTACCCTTATCCGTTCGATCTTCCCACGCCCGCCCATTTAACATGCATCTATTTTGTGATCTTCATGCGCGGGTTGTATTTCTCGTGACT